TCGACGGTGAATGCTCTGACTTGATGTCTGTAAATGCAGGCGTCCCTCAAGGCTGCGTGCTATCGCCTACATTGTTCCTCCTCCATATCAATGACATGCTGCAAATCAGCGGCATTCATTGTTATGCGGATGACAGCACAGGCGATGCCTACTACACCGGCCGCGCTAACATTTCTCGGGAAAACGTCATAGAGAGCCGAAACAGACTCGTGTCTGAAATCGAGACCTCTTTAGGGAGAATCTCTGATTGGGGTGGACTTAATTTGGTCCAATTTAACCCCACTAAGACACAAGTCTGCGTGTTTACCGCTAAGAAACTGCCGTTGGTCGTCTCTCCTCAGTTTCAAAGCACCCCCCTAACTGCCTCAGCCGGTATTGGAATACTTGGTGTCAATATTTCGAGCGACGTCCAGTTTTGCGGTCATTTAGAGGATAAGGCCAAATTAGCCTCGAGGAAGCTTGGTGTGCTCAATAGATCGAGGCAGTATTTCACCCCGACCCACCGCCTGCTTCTATATAAGGCACAGGTGCGGCCCCACATGGAATACTGTTCTCATCTTTGGGCGGGGGCACCCCAGTACCAGCTTCTTCCTCTGGACCGCATTCAGCGGCGTGCCGTTCGGATTGTTGGATGTCCGGATGTTTCAAACCGGCTCGACACTTTGGCAATGCGTAGAGATGTAGCTTCATTGTGCATTTTCTACCGCTTATACCACGGGGAGTGCTCTGAGGAATTGTTTGACCTGATACCTGCCGCATCTTTTCGCCATCGACCCTCACGACAGCATATGCATCCCCATCATATAGATGGTTGGCAGGCCACAACTGTGCGGTTCTCACGTAGCTTCCTGCCTCGCACAGCAAAACTGTGGAATGATCTGTCGTCGGCGGTATTTCCGAACCGATACGACCTTCAAACCTTCAAGAGAAGAGCGTACTCCTTTTTAAAGGGCCGGCAACGCACCTGTGACTCTTCTGGTGTTGCGGGTGTCCATGGGTGGCGCTGATCGCTTACCATCAGGTGATCCGTCTGCTCGTTTGCCTCCTATTCCATAAAAAAAAAAAAAAATCTTTACGGCTGATCAGAATAACAATCTGACAATATGCCTAATTTTTATTTCAATGTCCTTCTGGTAGATTATTTTGAATCATTAGGCACGTATTTTTTATTTTCTCACAGAAACGTATATTTTCGACGATATACTGATTTGAAATGTCGCGTGACGTCACTTCTATTTACATTTTATACGTAGAAATGACGTTTTAGCCCCCACTCCTAAACTTTGATTCGTTTTATCTAAGTATTGTTTTATTATACGACAAAATAAAAAAATACGTGTCTAATATTTTTTCATTGTCTAACTTACGGACGAATTATATTTTTAATTTTCATACCCTGTCATCATTCCAATTGACTTTAACATGTTGTCACAATTTTTTTGACCTGGTATAACAAAGGGTGGTATAATTAACAATCTGAGTTTACCGAAATTTTATCAAGATTGTAGTACCACCTTTAGGGGATTGAGGACAAGACGTGACAGTAGTTCCATGTAAAATACAAATTTTTAACTAAATCTAGTTTCCCTTAAATCCCCAAGCGGTCACCGGTGACCGGTCTACATTAACTAAATTATAAACCTTATTTCTCATGTTTACAGACTACTTTTGTATGAACTTTAGGGTACGATATTTCAAAGACTCAGAACCGATTTCACCCAATACTCTTAACTGCTTCTGTCGTTTCCAAATTCTTTAAATCCACGACAGTTTTCCTTTGCCACAATCAGTGTGTGGAAAGAAAGTAGAATGATGTACTACGATACGTCAGCCAGATCGAGATTACACAGCTAAGCTTACTTAGACTAAAACTTAGGACATTTCAACGAAAATATCTAGATTTTTACAATACTATCTTTGTTTTTCTTCCATTCTATGTTAGATCTAAAGAGTATTGGAGCCATTCTTTGATGTTTTCACTAAATTGATTCGAGTTTTTCTTTTGTTTTTTGTGCTTCGAAGAAAAGGGTCGTGTGTACATATGTTTGTTTTATAGCTATTAATTAAGTATAGTGCAGATGGAACTCCAGCTAAATATCACATTTCAGAATCTACGATTTTTTTTAGGGGTAAGCCGGTAAACGAGATTACGGAACACCTGATGGTAAGCAATGGGCGTCTCCCATGAACACCTGGAACACTAGAGTGAGAGGCGTTACAAGTGCGTTACCGGCCCTTTGGGGATTAGGAGTTTGAGGATCGTTGGGGATTCAGGAATTGGGGAGATTGGGGAAGGGGAGGGTAAATGGGTCTCCGGTAACCTCACACGCGATGAAAGCGTTGTTTCACGTCGGTCTTCTGCTCGGCCGTGGTGTCACTCCGGTCGAGCCGGCCCATTCGTGCCGAAGCATGGCTCTCCCACACTTTTTTTCTGAATATTAGTTACTTTAAAACATTTTTTTTTTTAATTGCAATTCGAAAACATTTCCTACAAAGAATTTTTTAGTCCATTTGTGTGAAAGAATTCATAAGTGCGTGACGTCAGAACCCAAGAACCTACTTTCATGGTATCGTGCCAAAATTATGGCATAGTTGTAGTAAAGTTTGGAAAGATGGCAAGGGGGATGGGTAGGGGAGTGGGGAGGGGTGTTCGATATAATTCTTTGAACCTTTTAAACATTCGTTTTGGTATGTATGAGTGGAATTGTCGATGGATAAGTTTTGAAATACCTAACTATTTGGTAAAAAGTTTTGTTTTCGGAATTGTCGATAATTGGTTACTTTCCTTAATCAAAAATCGGCCAAGTGCGAGTCGGACTCGCGCACCGAGGGTTCCGTACAAACCTGCAAGGTTTACAAAGTTCGTTCATTACGACAATCGAGTCATAACTATGGTATTTTTTTTTAGACTTAGAATTTTTTTTTTCACGGTTTAAAGGCAATTAGATCTAAGTATTTGATATGAATTTCAACTTGATAGCTCTACGCGTTCATGAGGAAAAAGTAATAAGTTTATATTTATTAAAAAAATATATATTTGTAATGTAACTAAAAATTTAAGGTTTTCGGAATTTTTCCTTTATGTGTGCTATAAAACGTTGCTTCATGTCAAATTTCAAGATTCTAGGTCGACTGGAAGTACCCTTTAGGTTTTGATTCCCTTGCGAGTACTTGCGAGTTTCAAAATATGCAGCTTAAATTGCTGTTTCATTTGATTGCGTTGACATAGAAGTTTGATTTTGTTACAGCTTAAAGGTATTATAGACCTGAGTATTTATGAGGAAATGGGTAGTAAGTTTAAAATTATTAAAAAAAAATATTATTAAAAATGTGATGTAACTAAAAATTTATGGGTTTCGTAATTTTTCCTTTATCTATGCTATAAGACGTTGCTTCGTACCAAATTTCAAGATTCTGAGTTCACGGTAATCACTCTGTAGGTTTTGATTCCCTTGCAAGTGTCGAAAATTTGCGGCATAAACGGCTGTATCTTTTGATTGCGTTGGCTTAGAAGTTTGATTTTTTCACAGCTTCAAGGGACAGTAGACCTGAGTAATTGATATAAATTTCAGCTTCATACCTCCACGCGTTCCTGAGAAAAAGAGTCTTGACAGATGGACGGACGGACGGACGGACAGACGGACAACAAAGTGAACCTATAAGGGTTCCGTTTTTCCTTTTGAGGTACGGAACTTTAAAAAATAATCACACTTTCACTAACTGATTTCATGACCAACTTAATTTTAGGTTTTTTTCAGCAATTTAAAAAAAATATTTATGCCGTTTGACTCTAAAAAACGTGACGTCACAAAACACAATCTCGTACAAAATTCATAGAAAACTATCGTTTTTGACATTTCGAAAAAAGTGTTGAATTTGACTACTTAGTTGGCGAGAACCGTATTATAGTTTTTTGTGGTTATCTCTCTAAAGTTTAACATTACATATAGATAAATAAAAGATTGAGTTAAAAATTTTGAAGTCTGCTAATTAATTTCCCTGCAATTTTGAGGTTTTAGAAAAACATCAAATCGAGACACTAGTAGGTAGTGTGTTCAACAACGTAATTGTAACTTCACAGCTGTCGCGGGTGATCTGTCCACTCGTTGTACAGTGTACACTTCTACATTCACTTCTATCTTAAAGTTTATAGAAAATTAAACCTTCCGCGGAAGGCCTGACGGGTTCCTGGGGCTTCGGTTCGACGTGCAGGAGAAAAAACGGGGTCGTTTTTAGTCAGTAAGAGTTTGACACTCCCTCTCGCCTAACTTAAGGCGGGAGAAGTAAATCAATGGTTTTCTCCCCTCAAAAAAAAAACACTACTTAAATGGACTAAAAATGGCGGGGTTCTCACGTGTATATACTGTACTAGTTTTGAGCCACAAAGGGGTTCTTCCTCATGAGCAACGAGCGCGGCCGTAGCGATGTCACGCAGCTCACTAGCTGTGGCTCTGTGGCTTGAAACTGGTAGACCTTTTCTCACTACATTCACGTATTTTTCAGTTAATTTAATATGTTTCACGATAGTTATTATAAAAAAAAAAAATATAATTCTAAGTATGAGAGAGCCATGCTTCGGCACGAATGGGCCGGCTCGACGGGAATGATACCACGGCCTCACAGAAAACCGACGTGAAGCAACGCTTGCGTTGTGTTTCATCGTGTGAGTGAGGTTACCGGAGGCCCAATTACCCTCCCCTTCCCCAATCTCCCCAATCCCAGAATCCCCAACCATCCTCAAACTCCTAATCCCCAAAAGGCCGGTAACACACTTGTAACGCCTCTGGTGTTCCAGGTGTCCATGGGCGACGCCGATTGCTTACCATCAGGTGATCCGTCTGCTCGTTTACCGGCTTATGCCATAAAAAAAAAACGGGCGACGCCGATTGCTTACCATCAGGTGATCCGTCTGCTCGTTTACTGGCTTATGCATCACCAAAAAAAATTACACCATCAAAAAATAAGTATACCTACTAATGCCATATTTCTGTTTGTTCCAGGTGTTAACGACTTAGTAACGTAGAATGTCCTGCGAGGAGAGGTTAGCGTGACACAATGGTGATACGGTGCTTGTTGATCGTGCTCCTGTGTGCGGTGAGTACAGATATACATACATTTTTTTGTATATGTTGGTCTGCAATCAGATACCAGACTATATCAGATTTGTTGAAGTGGGATGCGGTTTTTCAGTGCAATCGGCCAATGCCTGCTGTCACTTATAAGGTGTCGGTTTAACTTTTTCATAATTTTGCCACTGCTACGTAATTCGATGAGCAGTTGATTGGGACTGACATTACAGAATATAATAACTATTTATTTTGTGTAGGTATGTAAGGAATAGCGTAGCATTTTTTTTAAACATTGCCCCACCCTAGGATTTTCTCCTGTGTCGTAGGTGCGTTTACAAACATACAAATTCACATACACATGACACCCAGACCCGGAACAACAATTTGTGGATCAAATAAAGAGTTGTTCCGAGCGGGAATCGAACCTGTGACACATTGCGCAGCAGCCAGTTGCTCAGCCACTGCACCAACTGTGCAGTCTAGTCATTGACGTCTCTTGCGAAAATCGGGAACATCATCGTCGTCATTGAATTAGGTGTTTATTCTGCACATCTGAAATTGTTGAATACAAGGATAAAAAACATTTAGCAACATTCTTCTTCTCGATCGCTTGCTTCATTTCTGAAGGTCGTGCCCCTGAATGGCTTTCATTGCTCTCTGTGTTATTTCACTCTATCTTGTCCTGTTTTCGGCTTCTCTCAGGGCTTTCGTAACAGAGTTTTACAACATTATAGTTCAGTATTTAGGTAGGTAATTATGCCTGGAATGTTTTCCAAGGGTTTTGAATATTGGCAATTTTGTAGATTTTGATGTGTTCTTTTCGTTTTCCATTTTGCACCTGAGCGCAGCTCGCGCCGCCATCTTGGAAAGATGCGACCAAAACAGATTTTTTTCTTATATCTCTATTCCTGTACATTTTACGAAAAAACCGTTGACTACAAAATTAAATTACTCACAATTTTCTACAATTTATGTCTAGACAGCTTTTTTGTAATATAAGTAGTTTTGCCGCCAGAGCTTCGCAAAGTACAATTTTAGGAAAAAAAATATTTTCAAAATTTCCGAAAAACTTCCCAGGTAACCCCCATATTTCCTACTTAATTATCATACTATTATCTAATTTGAGATTTTGATTCAATTATTGTCTGTTCCGGTTTATGAGATACAGATACAGGCAGTGCTTTAGACGCATATTTTTAATAACAATAACATTCAAAAGTTAACATTAAATAACAACACCGCCAAGCTAAAAAAACCATGTTGGCTTCAACAAAATTTAAATAAAATGACAAAAAAATACATTTTGACCCGAACTTTGACTTTAGCAAAATCCACCCACGTTTGTTTACGAAAATAAAAAAAATAAATTCATCTGGCCATCCGTAAAGCCTTAAATACCTAATCCTACTGCGCCCCCTAGCGGGAATATTAATCAACACGTAGATTTTATTCTTGTAATAATCATTATTCATCTGTCGAGTATAATTCAGTGTAGAGGGAGCAAAAACAAATGAGTGTTACTTATGATGCTGTGCTCATAAACAGCTAATCGTGAAGCGAAAAGGTACTATTTGCTTTTATTGGAATATGCATAACATAATAACATCACGCTTTTTATCCCCGAAGGAGTAGGCAGAGGTGGACATTACGGCACCTAATGCCACTGTAGTACCTACAATGTAACACCCACTTTTCACTATTTATGTTTTGAGTCCCATGTAATAGGGGGTGAGTCTTTTTTTTTATGGGACAAGCCCGCCACAACCTCCCAAAACCGCTGCGGGGGTGAGTCACCGTAGGGGGTGAGTCTATTGCCATATACCGGGCACAATTCCAGGCTCCGTGCTACTACTGAGAAAAACTCAGTAATAGTTTTCCCGACTCGGGAGTCGAACCCGAGACCCCTTGCAGGATAGTCAGACTTGCAATCACTCGGCCAACGAAGCAGTTAAGGGATATGATAGGGCGGCAAACGAGGAAATGACACCGTTCATAGACAACCAAAAAAGTTCTACGCGCATGGCCAGCCTTTTACGGATTTGAGGATTAAGAATTGCGAAGAGAATTAGGCCTCCTCTAGTAATTTCAGAAACAATGTAAGCGTCATTTCATGGTAATTTGTTGCTCGGCCGTGGTACTATTCGATCGAGCCGGCCCAGCAGTGCCGGTACATTACTCTCCCGCGTCCATATACCTATGTGACTTGTTTTATAGACTAAACCAGAAAACGAGCAGACAGATCACCTGATGGTAAGCCATCGGCGCCGCCCATGGACACTCCAAACACTAGAATCAAGTGCATTACCGGCCTTTTGGGGATTAGGAATGTAAGGATTGTTAAGGATTCGTGGATTGGATTGGGGATGATGACAGGGTATAAAAATTAAAAATATAATTAGTCCATAAATTAGGTAATTAAAAAATATTAGACACGTATTTTTTTCTTTTGTCGTATAATAAAACAATAATTAGATAAAACGAATCAAAGTTTAAGAGTGGGGGCTAAAACGTCATTTCTTAGTATAAAATGTACTGAGAAGTGACGTCAAGCGACATTTCAAATCAATATATCGTCGAAAGTATTCGTTTCTGTAAGAAAATAAAAAATACGTGTCTAATGATATAAAATAATCTACCAGACGGACATAAAAATAAAAATAAGTCGTCTAGCCTACACGACGAAATAACGCCAATGTTGTTTTTATAATAACTATCGTGAGACATACTAAATTAAGTAAAATCGCGGGTTACTCACGTGAATATACTGAGAAAAGCTCTACTAGTTTCGAACTACAGAGGGGTTCTTCCTCATGAGCAGCGTGCGCGGTCCCGATCATGTCGTGCAGCCTACTGGCTAGCGTTGGCGCTAGCATCGGTGTTGCTACTTACGCGTCTAGCTCAATGCTTTTCTTAGTATGTTCACGAGAGTAACCCGCGATTTTTAGTTCAACGCCAGTGTTGTTTGACTTCGATTTTCTGCCCTGCCGTGGTATCACTCCGGTCGAACCGAACCATTCGTGCCGAAGCATGGCTCTCCCACGTTTACGTCATATCATACTATGAATAACACACGATTGTGACTTGAAAGTGGCAACTCTTCTAAAGTTACACTTTTCCTCAATAAATACCATATTATTAATACACTGCCTGCCTCGTTGGCCGAGTGGTCGCAAGTGCGACTACCGAGCAAGGGGTCTCGGGTTCGATTCCCGGGTCGGGCAAAGTATTACTGGGTTTTTTTTTAAATCAGTTACTACTGTGCTACTGCACAGAGTCTGGAATTGTGCCCGGCATATGGCAATAGGCTCACCCCTATTACATGGGACTCTATAACATAAATAGTGAAAAGTGGATGTTACTTCTGTGTGCACCTCTGCCTACCCCTTTGGGGATAATAGGCGTGATGTTATGTTATATTTTACGTAATTCTATATCAACCAAAAAATATGGAATTCACAGAAATCAAGTAATTTACCTCCTATGTTATACAAAGAGGATAAAACGAATCCGTTCATTATAAATTTTCAGGTGAAAACCACTGAAATATCATGTGTTATTGAATTCCACGTATTCTCCTATTGAATGGTTATTAAAACAGTGATATCAAAGGTTTAAAATTATCCTTTGACTTACAATGGATGACCACAATTTGAGTTTATTTAAACTGTCAAACACCAAGCGGTCACCGGTGACCGCAACCTATTGTTCTATAATTGTGTCTACAAAACCGGTACTCGACGAGTTAAGCTCTTGTACTGAACTAACTGACTCAAAGAACTTTTTTTATGGCTTGAGCCGGTAAACGAGCAGACGGATCACCTGATGGTAAGCAAACGGCGTCGCCCATGGCCACCTGGAACACCAGAGGCGTTACAAGTGCGTTACCGGCCTTTTGGGGATTAGGAGTTTGAGGATCGTTTGGGGATTCAGGAATTGGGGAGATTGGGAAAGAGGAGGGTAATTGGGCCTCCTTTATATTATATAGCTAAATCAATATGTGTTGACTTATTACTGGCTCGTTGGCTGAGTGGTTGCAAGTGCAAAGTACTACTGCAGACCAATAGTCCAGTACTAGATTGCTAAATCGTGTTGATTTTATTTATCATGCTTCTCTGATTAAAAAGTTCTGTTCATCATCCTAACCTCAAGAATATAATCACCTCATATGAGCTCCAATCTAAAACCACACTACAGGCAGAGCTCGCATATAAAACAAAACAAAACTTCTAAATCTAAACAGAATGTAATACAATAATGTACACAAATACCACGTGAATACAGTGTAAACCTCGTTGTTGAAATAACTCCTGATTGTGCTACGAGAATATTGCTGTATACTAGCTAGTAGCTACCCGTGACTTTACCTGAACAGGCTAAGGAAAAATAAAATCATCCTAACAAAAAGAAAGTATTTAAATGGGTATCTAATTAAGAGCAAACTAAGGGACTACACATTATTAGAAATTGCTAAGCCAAGCCAGTTACAAGCCGAGCGTACGGCGCGACGCGTTCCGCACGCGCCTCAAACAGCCATCAGACCACCACAGATGGGGCCCAACAGGGCTGATACTGATACGGAGCCGCGGAGGACTCAACGGGTTACCAGGGCTCCGGCTCAAAGAGCAGAAGTAGGAACGGGGTGGTTTTTAATCAGTAAGATTCTGGCACTATCTCTCGCCTAAGTCAAGGCGGGAGAAGTCAAAGGATGATTTTCCACCTTCAAAAAAAAAGAAGTATGAAAAATTTAAAGAAGATTGGTTCAGTAGATAAATATAAACGAACAAACTTCATTTCGCATATATAACACTAGTTGGGATGTACTTGCATTTTCATTCACCTGAATGCTCGTTCGCTGGGTATTTTCTAACATAATATGAAATTATAATTTGGCTTTATTTCGTTCCAGTTAGTCTGATGGCAAATATAGAACCTCGGTTTTATTTGTGTGGGTTGTATTTGTAGCGATATGTTACAGTTCTCGGGGTGAAATGGTGTTAGTATTATTTTAGTTATTGTTTGAATTTG